AGTCATGACCAAGGTTAAAGGATATGAAAAGTAGGGTAAACTTCAAGCTCAGGGTCACGAGGTCAAAATTTAAAGTGTATTAAGAAAGGTCTTGTCAAAGGTACATGTAATATATATATTTAATACGAAAATCCTATCACTTTTCATTCAAAAGTTATGGAAAATTCAAAGTAATGTTTAATTTTTTAAAAGTATGTCAAACTTCAAGGTCACGGGGTAAAAAATCATAGTGTATTTAGGTCTTATCAAACGCAATAAACATGTATAATATGAAAGCCCTATCTCTTCTCATTTAAAAGATATGACCAAGGTTAAAGCTTTTATGAAGACGGACAGAACTACAGACGGACAGACAAATGAGATTTAACATACCCTTGCTTTCGCAAAAGCGGAAGACAACAATAGAAATATATAAATCATGAAAATTTGAAAATTTTTGAACATCATGACTCAAGATTCTCAGACTGAGCACGGAAATAAACATAATACTGTAATCGCAAAACAATTTCTCAATTTTTCATTGAAACCTATGAATAAATATCAACATGAATTAATTGAATGTCAACATTTGGATTGAAATATGCGTTCAGCGAGGAAACGCAAACACATATTTGCATTGTAGCCAATACTGTCCAAAATCGGAAATTGTCAGGAAAATATTTCAACTCAAGTGCTGGGCATATATTTGAAAAAACATTATTTACTGGGTATAGGAATAAAATAATGTTGTTTTTTTTTTTATTAAAGAGAAAAATATTAAAGACAAATTTTTATTAACACTCCCGGCCCTGTAAGAAAAAAAAAACTGGAATTTCATTCTCCTTGTACATATCACTTTCGAATATCGATGTATTAATATGTCGTTAACTAATATTGCGAGATTCGCTACACAATTTTATATACACATCTATGTATATCGTATATAGGAGTTGAGTTGTTTTATATCCAAATACTAACAGACAAGTAGCTACATTTGTCATTAATACGTGCACATCATTTGACTTCTATCTGCATACTGAGTGATTGCACGTATTGTATAGATAAATATTAGTGAATTAGTGGATTACTTTTGTGTTCAAACTAAATGTATGCGACTATTAAAATGCGATTTTGAAACACATGTCAGCTGAAAATGAATAAAAATTGAGTTAAATGAGGAAAATAAAAGGCTAGAATACGAGAACACTTTCTTGGTAGAAACTTTTTAATAACATATACATTGGGAAATAATCTAGAATTCTAAGCATTACTGATTTAGAATAAAAAAGAGTTTCTGAAATATTGTTGGCTGTTTAAAATTTAATTTGGGCTTTTCTGAAGTGTTTTCCTGTATGTATTTTATAGTATTATCAATTTTACGAGGGGTGATCAAAAAGTTCGCAAACTATCTCTATATCTACAAAACCACAATTAGATTAGAATGAAATACGGTACACACATAGCCATACACAAGGTCTATAAATAGCATATGCTGAATAAAGTTTCTCTCCTTGTTTGTGACGTCACAATGTGAAAATGACGTGACTATTTAGGTCACTTGTGACGAAAAATGGTTGTCTCAGTCGTACTCGTTCAACAAACGACTGTACAATTTATTGTAATATCTTAGAAATCCCTCTACAGTATCATATAATAATTTGTACACAGTTTATTGAGATAAATGAGTTCCTATAAATTCAATTAATGATTGGATTAATCGTTTTAGTGAAGGAAGGCTGATGGTTAAAAATGATATTTGTCATCTTGCCCAGTGAAAGCAAGTTTGAAAAGATATGTATTTTTAATTAAGCATTTTGCTATCAAAGACCTCCAATTAGCACTTTGAAAAATAGTTGAATATTTGAACAATGATATAAGTATTAAATACCTAAGATATCGTTTACTTTAGATTTTAAACATATTAGATATGATAAAAAGGATGCACCCATTCTCTATCCACCTTGAATAAAGGTCTCTCCTGAGACAGAAGATTTGCGTTTTAATGGTCGCCATGCTTATTTTTGGAAAGGATGTTATTATCCACCCATTCTGTTGCCGAGATATGACCATTTCTGACAAATTAACTGTTCTTGTCATAAAAATTAACTCACATGGAAAGAAATATAAAACTCGGAAAAATCTTTTAACTTTTGTGACAGAACGCTACGGAAGGGGTCACGTGATCGATGACCGCCAATATCACGTGATTCGCGCATGCGCAGAACGGTGGTTGATGTGCATTAAAATCGGGGAGGATTAATTTAAAATACAAGTTGCTGTCCTTTAAAAAAGGACTGCAATACGTGGACCATATGCATGTTTTTCTAACCGAAATTCAATTAAGAAAATTCTAGGTGTAGTGAATATTCATGTAGGTTTGTTAACATTTTCTACAATGATCTGCTTCCTTATGAGTGATTGTAGTCTCAAAGCAAAATTGTTAAATTTTATCTGCGATTAGAGTCGTACGTTTAGTTTTGTCAGTTTCAAAGATCGGGCTATTTTGATACATGTAACCCATAATGAGCATGACACCTGTTCTGAAATCTATCAGGGGAAAATAGAGATCTGTTGGTTCACGTGTATCACAGCTCTTTAGCACGCAGATTTTTGTCGGATTCCCCCCCCCCCCCCCACACACACACACACATACACAGTAAAAGCCGTTGCTATAGACCTCTATCAAACGGTATTTGGATTGCTGGAATAAAAAATTATGTTGCGAGCCTTGATGCAAAAAACTAATGGCAGTGAAAACATGTTCTATCTTTTAAAAGCTAGAACTAGTTGTTGAATGACGTTTTTCATTCAAGTTGTTAAGTTACTTGTATCTATGCAAGTTCTTCCTACTTTTTAAAATGCTTAAAAAATAGAATCAAAGTTTAGTTTGTACCATAGAATCAAAGTTTAGGTTGTTTATAAAAGTATATGTATAAGAGGGAAATTCGGATCCGCCAATGAATATGTAAATGTGATACGCGGATTTAAAATTAAAGCGCGATGTGCTAATGAATGGCATATTCTTTATTCGAATAGGGCGTAGAATTATTCTACGGGCAAATTACCTAAGGTGCGAACTCTCCAGCATTCTCGCGCGTGCGTAGCCTATCGTTTGCCCATGGCATCCGGTTTAGCCTCGCTTATATATTTACTGCGTGGACCTCAGGGTCCACGCAATAATCAACATTAAAACCAAATATTGTTTCTTGTATGGAAGTTATTCAATTAATTAGTTTGCGAACTTTTTGATCACCTCTCGTATTTATGCAAACTTCATACACTTAAACAAATTGCTTTGCAGTTAATCTGTGTCAATTATTTTTTTCTACCTCCATCTTCCTCATGACCATGCATATGACTTTCAACATTTAGGAGTCCTAATATTCCTCTTGGTCCATCATAAATAATTTTAAAGAGGGTATATAGTAGCTTCACACAACTCTGTAAATGAGAGCATGAAAGTATACAGAGAGATGAAGGTATATACAGTATATAAAGAGGTACCCGGGTATATAGAGAAATGAAGGTTAACTTTTATAGAGAAAAAAGGTATTCAGAGATATAAAGTTATATAGAGGGAGGAAAGTATTGAGAGATGAAGGTTTAGTGAGATGAAGGTTTAGACAAATGAAGGTGTATAGAAATAGAGGAATGGAGAGGGAGTAAGCTACATACTAATATGGAGATGAAGGTTACAGGGAATTTAAGGTATGTATAGAGATAGAGGTATAAAGAGGTGAGGGTGTAGAGAGATGTAAATTTACTTACCTTGTCATTGGTCATTAGCAAAATTATATGCTAAAAACATTTTGATTTTACACACAAGTACTCTGAAGTTGACATCAAAAAGATGCTTGAGTTTCTGATGGACAATATGTATGCTGTTTTTGAAGATCGGGTCTTCCAACAATCTATGGGAATTTCCATGGATAAGAATTGCGTCCCCTTAGTAGGCTAGCAGGCCTATTTTTGTATTCAAATGAAGCAGAATTTGTCTAAAATCTTACGTATGAAAAGAAGAAAATACTTGCTGTAGCCTTCAACTCGACATTTCGATATATCGAAGACATATATTGCCGATTTACGATGGTAATTTCCATTACTATGTCGATACGATATATACTGGTGGGCTTGAGATAAAAGATACCACAAATTAAAGTCTGACACATCTGTTTCATATTTGGATATTTTACTTGAAAAAGACATAAATGGTAATCTAACAACCAAGCTCTATGATAAACGTGATGACTAACTTTTCAATTGTCAACTTACCTTACTTATGCAGCAATATACCTTCATCGCCTGCATACGGGGTTTATATATATCTCAGTTGATTCGATACGCAAGAGCATGCTCTACGTATGAACAACTTCATTTCTAAAACGAGGTAAATTATTGACAAACAATTTGATGAAACAAGAATATCAGTAGTCTCATTTGAAGACTTCATTTCATATGTTCTAAGGTCGATACAATGACCTTGTCAGCAAAACAATTTATCAATGAGTCAAATGCCGACTGACGTTCTTCTTACTAATTTTTAGTCCATTATTTATTATAATTATACACTGAATTGACGACGGATTTTCCCGTTATTTCCCGATCATGACAAGAAGCACACGGCGGATGTGACCGGTCGGCAGAGGGGATGCCCACTTCTCCATGGCACCTGATCCTACCTCTGATGTTTTGAAGGTCCGTGTTTCCTCTGAGATGAAAGAGATGATGCATAGAAAACGAAAGTATACAGAGAGATGAAGGTTTTAAGAAATGAAGGTACGTGGTTTTTTTATGTTGAAGATGATACAGAGAGACAATAGAGGATTTAAAGTTAAAGAAAATAAAGCTTTCCCGAAAAAGGAAAAATAAATGATGAAGAAAGAAATGGCATTAAAATACAAGCAAAAAAAAAAATCATCAATTTATTATACACGGTAGAGTGAACTTACGAGTAATCTTTGATTTTATATCAATAGTGATGAATTCTTCATCAAAGTCAACACATTAAATTTTTTGCTAATGTTATTTTCATTCAAAGTTGAACACTTTTTAATAGTGATTTTTGATCAATAATTGGATTTAAAAGAAGAAGACGGTATGTCCATTGCATTACAAAGGTAAACAGGTATATCCGATCTTATTAAAAGAAATACTGCTTCGTGTTTCTTGGCATATAACTCAAGCCCATGATGTGGTTGTCGCTACGAAAATCCAACTTCTAGAGTAACATACGCTACAAAATCAGATTACAATTGAGACTTTAGCCATTTAGGGAATACACCCCTATTTTCCCCTTCTGACTTCCAACCCACAAAGAACCGTCCTGGCCCACGGCAACTGACCATGGTTTGAAAATTTTATCTGCTTTACCAAGCACAATGTCAAACATTTGTCCTGATTCATCAATTCTCATTATCCTGCTGTTGTTATAGTCTGCAACATATACACACCCATTGTCTTCATCGCTACAAAGTCCACGCGGGTTAAAGTAGTTTTCGGCATTCTTTTTCATTCCATAGTATTCTGCCTCAATGTGTCCATTCTTGTTAAGTACTGTGACACATTCTCTTTTCCAATCCGAAATAGCAATGTACGACTTCTGGGTAACAACTACCCTTGCAGGATATTCAACAGTTGGATGTGTCGAAAATTCCAAAATGTCTGGCATTTCCCACCGTTTGTTTTTTCCTGTTAAAGTCTTTACTACCTTATTGTGATGAGTTACATCATGGTCGAAGAAGGCGTTTTTCTCCGTCATACAAATGTAAAGAATTCCACTCTTTTGATCAAGAGCCATTCCACGTGCACAGGCGGGTGTAGACAACATTGTCGAAGGTCGGAGTTGTTTATCAACAGCCTTTATGACCTTTCCGGAATTGCATGACACCAAGATTGTGTTATCTGGTCCATATGTGATATCGTCTGCTGGAAGACCAAGATGAAGTGTTCTGTGGACTCTTCCTGAATTGTCGTATAACTTCAGCGCTCCCTCGGCACCTTCCACAACCCAGACTCTTCCATCACTTAGAGGAAGTATTGCTGAAACGACAGAGCCTTCGTTTTCTATTTCAAAATCATGCAACAATTCTGGTCTGGGATCATTTTCAATTGGAAATCCTGGTTTCACATTTCCAAAAAGCAATCTAACATCTTTTTCTTCGACAACCTTAGGATCAAAGTAAAACAGGTCGCTTCTTTTGATTGTTGGAATCGAATAGTCTGATTTCATCTTTTCTAGCTTCCCTACCAATTTATGACTGTATTCAACAACTGCAATATCATCACCCTGTGCACTGACATTTTTAGCAAACTGAAAGATTCCTGCAGAGGACATTGTTTTTCGATCCAAATCTTTGATTATGCCTTTGATTGGTTTAACTTTCTCTTTCACCTGTTCTTTGACTTTACCCAACAGTTCGCCTTTTACGACTTCGACAAGGTGATGCAGCATCTCCGAGTGTTTCTGAATTTCATCCTCAGCAGATTGTTGTGTTCTTTTATAACGATTTATTTCCTGTGATATTTCCATTTTTCTCTCGGCCAGCCAACACAAGTAGTTGACATACTCATCAGAGTTCACAATATCCCCCAGCATGTTCCTGCACGACTCTGCAACATCTTTCACGTACTTTGATGCGTGTTGCTTATGAGTTGTTGCATTGCAATGTTGACATACCAATTCCTTGCATACTGAACATTGATACAAGAGTCTCTCTTCAGGGTGAATTTTACAGAAGAGATTGTGCTTGATTTTCCCATTGTTAGGACTTCGTCCGACCTTTACCATGTGATGTTCCCTTGTCGCAGTCATCCCAGAATGAGATTTAACACACGTCACGCAAAAATCCTGATTGCATTCGATACAATGTTTGTTCGCCATTTCTTCTTCGCCGCATACATGGCAATATTCTCCAATGTTCTGTCGTTGAAGTTGGAAAAAATAGTTTTTTCTCAATGCTCTCGCTCCCTTTTCTGGAACTTTCATTTCAGAATCACATAGTGGACATTCCAAAACTCCATCTTCGCAAACTGTTGTGATGTAACCATCTAGACATTCCTTGCAGAAACTATGATTGCAATTTAATAGGCGCGGATCCTGGAAATCTTCCAAACAGAGGTAACATTTAAGGTTGTTAAGGATCGTGTCGAGGGTTCTCTGCTTGCTTTTAACTTTGGACATAATGTGGACAGGAAACTGAAATTGAAATAAATTCCAGAATTATTCCAAAATGCAAGACATGTAGTACTAATATACTAGTAAACACCTTCGTGAATTCAGCCATCTTTCTCAATGGTATAACATACTAGGAATCAACCAAATACATATATGATAGTAACAATCACATACGGTAGACGATGATTAAAATTCATCAAACCTGGCGTCCCATATAAGGCAAAAGTTAAATCTAATATATCATACAGGGTAAGAAGTAACAAAATAATATTGCAATGTATATCATAAAAAATATTATATTTGAAATACCATAAACAATTATATCTGGTATACCATACAGGATAACAATTATGTTTGGTTAACCATACAGGGTAACAATTATATCTGACCATACAGAGAAATATAGGTAAGTCGGCTATACAATTCCTGTTAGCAATCAAATTTAGCCTAACATACAGGGAAACATTTTGTACAGACTAGTTTTGAAGATAAAAAAAAATCAAAGGAGACATAGTGATTAATCAATTTTAGTGATACAAAGTCTGACAGATTTACTTTTACAATGCCTGTTACGATATAAAAGAAGAATGAAAATTTAATTTTGGGATAAAGGGGTGTTATCTTTTGTCTTAAAGTGATATTAAATCGACGCCCTCCGCATTAAAAATTTTTTTTGGAGTTTTAATAAATGTTCAATCCACCTACTAGTATATAGATGAACAACTTACCCTGCATCAATTATTCATTGATTTCTATCAAACTCTATTCAGAACACCATTATTGATCTTTATCTCCGAACGAAGATTTTTATTTACATTCAATAATGCACTCCTTATATTTTTTAAAGAAACAGCTTTGTTTCAATCTATTTAATAATAACTATGAAAATATGTTTGTTTAAGTTGAAATAAAATATCTTATTTAAAATTAAATTCTGCGAGTTAAATGAATCTAAAAAGTGAAAATGATAACAAGAAAATGAATGTTTTATTTTAAAAAGAAAAATACAGCATCAATTTCAAAACAAAACCAACATCTTACCAGGAGGAGTCACAATCCAGCTAAACAATTACACCAGGTTTTATTCATATCTTTAAAGCAGTATTTTCTTCCGAATGCGTCCTGGTACATCCATACCCGCCGGATTGGTCGTAACTATTGTAACACTATGGCAATTTCGATTTCTGTTGTGTTTAACTACTTAAATCACTTCAGAAACAACACTAACTGGTTTTATTTATTCAGCTCACCTCGCTTTTGACATCGATTCACGGGTACCCTGTGTCGACATGAAAAAGGAAACCACGCCATTAAAAATCAATTTTATCCATTTTTGCTGATAAAATTGCCGTTTGTGCAATGAAAGGCCATTTTTGTCCTGTTGTAAAATGCATAGCATTGTAAGGAATATGACATCAATATTTCGCTTCCATGGCAAACTTATCAATTTCAGTAACCAATTTAAGTCATTTGCAACTACCATTAATTATTAAAACAATTTATTTGTTCGTATGCTAATTTCTTTAATTATTGAATTGGTTTAACAGATTAAACATCTGAAAGTACAATGTTGAAGGTATTGATTAAAATGAAAGAAATCACAAATCCTTTACCTTCATAAACACATTCATAACTGCAAACAAGTAGACTCAAATGAATCCCTAAAACATTTATTGAAGCTGTGAACCCAATACACCCAAGAATTTTTTTTTTTAAAAGATAAACAGTTATTTATTATAATTTGCATATGTTATCAGTTGGTTTTAAATATTTAGTCTTGTTGGAGAGAAAGTGCCGTTCAAATACCGGTATATCAATAAACATTTGCATGCCATACAAGTATCTAACTCTTCAATTTCCCCATTCATTTTTTGTAAAAAGCCAATGTTTGTTATCATGGAATGATGTTGTAAGTGATGATGACTGAACGAAACATCACCTGCTCATTATCGACACAGATTGACGATGTATTTCAGAGTGTTTGTTGTTTGTTTATTGCTTGTCCCTACTTGAATTTTTCAGTCATATTGAGACGGCACCACTTGCCAGTGGAGACCTGTATCCAGCACCTACTGCCTTCGGACAGTGCTTATAATTTTTTTTCGTTTTGGTCCTGGCATCTATTAAGACAAGTGGTCTCGTTTTAAAGGTCTCAACCAAAGGACCGAACTCAATGTCCCGCTGTGGGGTTCGAACCCGCGACGTTAGAACCAACTCCTTTACTCTGCTATTCTAGAACAAAAGGCTATAATCACTGCGCTAGCTGACTGTGGAGTGAAAATAGAGTATTAAAATAAAATATGAACAGGTAAATATTATCGTTTTTGAAAGGGAGAGGAGTCAGAAAAATTGACGTCATTTCGTGGGTTATCATATGTACTGCAGATTCAATGAATCATTGTTAACAAATTTATGAAATATTCATTGGGATGTTAATTCGTTGTTAAGGGTCCCCATGAACTACGATAATTCCACATGACAATTCAAAATCTTCGATCAATTTTCAACTACAAAATATGTTCCTCTTTCACGTTTCCGGAAAATATATTTGATAATTGGCGATAGAAACTCATTTCTATTATGAATTATGTAGAAAATTATGTCAGACGTATTAGATAATTAAGCGGAATATGCGAATCCTCTACTCATCCATTATCAAAGAAGAAGAGGTAATTTAAAAAAAAAAGTCTACATAAACAATATGCATGGTTCCAGCACATAAAAATATCGTCTTTGTCTGTAAGGATCCTTGTTATATCTGTATAAGTTTACAAAAAATACGTCCATTCATATGTCGAGTTTATTTATATAGGCCCCTATTTCAGTAAATCTGCAATAAAAGAATCAACAGATTCTGTCGCATTTGGTTCATATTTAGATGTTTTCTGACTATAGACGATAAGCACCAACTAATAATTAAACAATATGACAAAAGAGATGACCTTAGCTTTTCCATCGTCATCTTTCTTTATTCATTATTCCACTATCATCTGCATATGGTGTTTACCTCTCTCAATTTACTCCAAACTCAAGATCATGCTTTGCGTACGATCTCTTTATTAACAGATGCAGACTACTGACAGATACGTTGAGTTTACAGTGATTTCATCATCCTCGTTAAAGTCAGCATTTTGTAAAATCCATGATCGTTATTATGACCTTGTTGGTGTGTCTTTTTTTTCCTTGTTTTGAACAAAATTTGCAAAACATGGCGTTTTTAATTTATACTTATAGATCAACAATAGATGCTTACAATCATATGTAAATCCTATCCCAGTAACATTGAAATAAAAATTCGTATTAGCTGCATGAAGGGTTTCCTGGTAAGTTTGATACCCAAGAACATGCTCTACATACAAATAACTAAAACGAGACAATTGAGAAGATTTTGCAACAAGAATATCCACAATCTCGTTGAAAGGCATAATTTTCCAAGTTTTCTTACGTCAAAAGGAGATAAAAACAATGGTTATTTCCATTCTTATGCCATGCGATATATCCCGGAGATCTTGAAATAAAAGATACCACAGAGTCTGACAAATTTTTACTAGAAAAAAGTTAATGTAATCTAACATCGAAGCTTTATGATAAACGTGATGACTACGTTTTCAATCATCAACTCCTAATATGCAGCAACATAAAATCTTTATCACCTGCATACGGGTTTATATGTCTTCGATGAATGGATACACAAGAGCATAGTCTACGTTCTACGTAAGAACGATATCTAAAACGATGTGAATTATTGACAAACAAGATGATGAAACAAGAATGTCAGCATTCTCGTTTGAAGTCTTCATAGCATTTCGTAAGTTTTTATACCGATGCAATGACCTTGTCAGCAAATACAATCTATCAATAAGTTAAATGCTGACTGACGTTTTTCAAACTTATTGTTAGGGCATTATTTACACTGAATTATCGACGGATTTTTCAAAATCATGACAAGGAGCACACGGCGGGTGTGACTGGTTGACAGGGGATGCACACACCTGGTCCCACCTCTGATGTCTTAGAGGTCTTGTCCGTCCTGTTTGTTATCTCCATATATTTCATGCTGAAATTGAAATATTAATATGAAAGAGACAATATGCAAAGGTAATATAACATTTCTATTAATATCTATACTTTAATGATTTTATAGCTCTTAGAGTGTTCTTGACTTTTCTATAATTGTATAATTAAAATTTCCTTGTGGCGTGGAATTATTTTTCTTTATTTTATCTCTTCCTGAATGTTGATAGTTGCTTCCATTTTAGTGCTTTGTTAGATAATAATAGTTTGAGTCTAGCTTTAGCGTGCTTCCGAATTCCAATTTTTGATCATATTTGATCCACGTGGAAAAACCACGCTGGAAATTGGTGAGGTCCATATGTCCGTTTGTCTATAAATATGAATAATTCCAGAGATGTAAAAAAAAAATAAAGAAAGTATGAGAGGATAATGAATAACCAGTACGTCATTCAGAACTGTTATAATTTATGTACTTATGAATTTATGTACTATGTGATGGTGTGACAAATGGATATAAATCAGTATTTTCCAACTGACAGTATCTTTAACGATGACAGTGATCTTTCTGATTCACCAGATGACAGGGATTCTTTATCTGTATCGAGCACAGAAGAAAAGGACGTGTATATTCCACGATTAAAGTTCCAAAACCTTCAGAATTTCCAAGCACCAATATACTCTAAGCAAAAGAAAGATGATCCCAATTGTAATATAAAAACGGTATTTATCACTGAAGCGGAGGTACACCAAATGCCAGCAATAAAGACGGAAAACTCAAAAAATGACTTTGTCGATAACTATTTATCTGATACCTCGTCACCCCCTCTCCAAAACAAGAAAAGGCGTACGCTGGATGTCTCGGGAGATAGCGGCGGGATGCGCAGACAGACAGAAAGTGGTCTGTACAAAAGTAGAAGAGAAAGTTGCACAGGTTTCACTTGGATGTGGCAAAAAGATTCTATAGAACACGAGAAGTACGAAAATCTTCTGGCCAATGAGGGTTTAGAGTATTCAGAATATAAAGTAAAATCTAGAAGAATTTCTAGTAAAAACATTGTATTTTACAATCGTATTTATCCATTTGCTAAAGATTCGAAAATTCAGTTACCAGTTTGTTCTCAAGATAAGCGAAGTGGAGATGGAAATCTCTTGGAATTAGAGTCTACATTTTGTGTTCCTGCAGCCTGTTCAAACGTGTCCTCGATAATACCGTATGGTTCTGGACAATGCTGGGTAGCTACGGATGTATCAAAAAACATACTCCTATACGACAGGAATGGAGACTTAATGGACTTCGTTAATGTTGGCTGTCCAGTGGACTCCCTAGCTACTGACAAAGATGGCAATGTCTTCATATCTTGTCCAGATTTGAAACAAGTTCGCGTGGTTGACCGTCATCGACATGTAAGTAAGCTTGCATATTTTTCGTGAGAGAGAGAGAGAGAGATGCTGTGTGAAATTAAACAATCAATTAGATATTTTTCTTTCTTTGAAGATGAGAACTTTTCTGGATATGACACAATACCCCCGAGGTATTGCCTACATGCGACTGGAGGACTCTATACTCGTATGTAGAAACGACAACAAGATAGCTAACGATCTTACAGTGAAGGCATGCAACCCACTCAGAAAATATCCTATCCGTGGACCAAAGTCTAGTAAACCACGGGATACAGATGTAGCTGAAAATATGTTTGGTTATCCTTTCCGAGTTTGTGTGAATGTTAACGATGACTGCATAGTGTCTGATTTTGCTCATCGCTCGATCACGGTTTTGGACTCAGCTGGAAGAATTCGCTTTACCTTCAACTCATCCAAAGACTTTCCGATCCGAAACTGCGATTCTGTTTGTTGTGATCAGAAAGGAAATATTTACATTTTATTGAAGGGTAATCCTAACGTCTGTGTACTGGGACCCGGTGGTAATATTAAAACTATTTTTTCCTGCTGTGATTTCATTTATGAATCCGTCTTTACTACTGTTTTTGATTCTAACGATTACTTGTGGGTGGCTTGCATGGATGGTTTCATTAAAATCTTTAGAAAAATTTAAATTAGTAAAGAAATTAAAGCCTTTCTCGTGAGGACTTAAACATTTGGCATTCGTGATATTGGATTTCTTTTTTAAAAAATTGATCCATTAGTAGGAATTATCCTTTAAGCTTACACCAACGTTCTTTAGTATTGATTCCTGTTTCCAAGTTGAAAGTTAGATTTCTTCTCAATTTGGGGTGGACAAGAACTACGGATGCATTATAATGACCACATACCCGTATGTAGGAATACTAATATACATGCATTATTGGTTAAGACAATCTAAGAAACAATAGTGAAGATTTTTCATATGGTTAAATTTGAAGGAAATCTGGTGATTTTTATCATACAGTGATGTCATAGGTTTTTGTCAAAAAAAAATGTTCATTTTAATTCATTCCTCACAGATTTTTGTTCAATAGTTGTAATGAGAAATATTGAGAAGTAAGTACATTTGTATATTGTATATTTTCTCTCTCTTTTTTTTTCTAAGGGCAATTACTTCTTCCCATGTATCTTCATTCAGACATTTCCTTAACTATTTCTAATGTATACTATTTTCCCTGATATTCACAATTCAAACATAAATGAAAACTAGCACTTATTTTGTAAATTTCAACATTCAACATCAGAATTGTAAATTTGAAGGCCAGTCTTTTTTTTTCGATTTGTTTATTATTTTTTGTTTTGTTTTGTGCTTGTACATGTATTTGTGTTTTGTTTTTTAACGTACTTTTTAAAATACTTTTTAATAAAATTTTAAGATTTTATGCTGACTTGTACTTTAATTAGTTTATTCTTAAAATCTTTAAAGATATAATAGTAAGAATATAAGTAATATAAGAAAATAAGAATAATTAGTTAATTTATACTATAAGGAAATGAATGCAGTTTTTCTACTCGGAACCATGAAAATTGTAAGGGTGGGAAATCCTTTGGAAAAGATATATTTATAATCTGCTCGCGTGTATCTAACTTGCAGTTATAATTTGTCTATATCTTGCAATTAATTTTTCATTAAAAAGGAATTATCTCTTAAATTCAAAGTTCTTGATTTGATTAGACAATATAATTACTAAGTTGTGTACAAAAAAGAAAAAATACAATATTTCAATTAGGACCGTCTTATAATTTTCAACAAAATATACATATTAATTACGGTATAGACTCGTACAAAATAATTTTTGTACATACTGGGATTTTTCTACTTATAGCGTATTTATTTCCCGATTAAAGTGGAATGTTAATAATAGTGCCACACATGATATATTTATTTTTATCGCCATGACATTTCCTCCTTGATTTAAGAGTTTTGAACTATTTTAAAATATTGGATGAATTAATGAATAAATAATTGACAAAAGATTGAACGTCAGTCTGAAACTATATTTCTTTCCAAAGTCAAAAAAGCCTAACAAATGGTATGAAACAAGTCAGACAAAATACGACCAATTGAAAGACAAGATCTGTATTTGCTAATAATCATTAAAACGCCCGTAGAATATTTAAAGGGTTTGTTAAAATCCCTGTATCGTCAAGTTTATCGTCAGTAGCCTTCTTTTTTAAAACTGCTCGTACTCGGAGCATGCTCTTGAATATCCAATAAGTTAAGAGATCATCATATAAAGGTGATATGATACGGTATATTACTATAAAAATACGGAAAGATGACTATGGAAAAGCTGAAATCATCTCGTCATACAATTTAGTTGGCCCTTTTTGTCTATAGTTAGTAAAGCATCCAAGAACATTTCTTTGTCTATACAATGAAGCTGTTAATGGCCCTTATTATCAAACGTCAGTAAATGTCAGATGCGACAGACCCTATGATGTAAATAATTTCAATTTCACTGAAGAATATCGAATCGACGTATAAATGAAAGTACGTATCGTTAATTGAAAAAAAAACATCGTCGATATATCTAAGGCAGACTTGAATGTCACTGCAAATGTTTTCTTTTTTCATGAAGTAGTTTCTGAATAATTTTTGCTTCACAGGAATATAGCAAAAGGCTGGTTAATAAAAGATCACAATTGGGGCCCATTGGAATTTATTGAAACAATTGGTCAGAAGACAACAACTATGTTGAGAATGAGAAATTTCTGACGCCAATGTGGTGAAATACTAAAATTGAAAATAAATAAATATCCATTTTTCGTTTTCTTTATTTCTTTTTTTTCTTTCTTTTTTCTCAGTACAAAAAAAATCCACGAGAGGAAGAAACACTTGCTGTGGTCATCATTTTGATATATAAACTTCTTCCAGTTCATCTCGATATTTCCCAGCGAACATGAAATAAAAGATAGCACGGAGTCTGAAATATGTTTCATACATGACAGCAGGAACCCCAATACCAGTAATGTTGCCGCTTTATAATAAACATCGCTACTAAATGTTTGTACCCCCTCAATAAAAACGAGGGTTTTGTTTTGTTTTGGGGTTTTTTGTTGCTGTTTTTGTTGGGTTTTGCTTGTCAAAAAATTTTTGGTAGTTGAAAGTATCCCCAAATGCAAATTTGTGCCCCCAGCTGAAATCGCTTTTCATATTTTGATATTTTATTACAGAAAGATTTTAAAATCACCCAATAACAAAACTTTATCATAAACGTAACGACTTAAAACTTTTTAACGATCATCATTGTTTATTTTTTGTAGCAATATATCCTTATCACATGCATATGGGATTTATATATATCCCTGTTGATACGCAAGCGTGCTTTACGCACGAACAAGTTCTAAATCGAAACAAGATATTGGCACAAAAGTTAATTAAACAGGGAAATCAGGAGTCTCGTTTTAAAACCATCAGTCGCCCGCGAAGCACAGTCGTAATCTTGAGCGACTACTCTAGAGTCGCTGTGTTAGGAGTTGATCCTTACGTGGCGGGTTCGAATACGTCTATGGTACGTGGAGAACAGTTTTTCGGATAGGACCGTATAAACTGAGGCCCCGTGTCACAGTAAATGCTGGCACGAAAAAGATCCCTCATTGTTCAATGACCCTTAGTGCTGAGTATAGGGGGGAATTATAGCTCTCCACTGGCAACTGCAAGTGGTGGCCTCTCCATATGACTGGTAAATTATTAAAAGGGAGTTTAACAACAAACAAACAAATAAAAACCATCATTTTGCAAGCTCTGCTATCGATACAATAACCTTGTCAGCGAATACAACTTCTCACAATGACGAATGCTGACTGACGTGTTTCATACCAATTGTTAGGTCATTATTTACCCACTGAATTGTCTACGGACCTGTCCGTTTGTCCGATCAAGTCAGATGATAGAAGCAAAAATGGCCATACTGGGCTATAATTCCTAGATATGGATATGTCCACGATCTTACTTATAAATAAAATAAAACGATGCAGGACGTAAGGTATGACCTTACTATGTACTTTTAAACCCGGAAAATATTAGCATGCGTCCAGCCTATTCAGCTTTCCAAACAGGAAGAAAGTTAAAAACTGAACAGTCTTAGAAGTTTATTGGAACATAGTACAAATCTCTTCTCGTATGAAACTATTCTGAAGTAATGTCAGTCAAACAGATAGCATGTCCATGGTCCCATTTTTACCTTGAATGAATGTGCATTCAGACCTCGAGATTTCGTTTACTCTTTTTTCAGCAGCGGCCGTATGGTATTGGTACGCAATTGCTTTTCACTTATTTCAATTCTAATCATTGATACAAGTCTTCTATACGACCTTTAAATTTTGAGAATTACCACGAGGAAATATAGAGTTAACTCAAGTCAACTTGGAGACAAAAAAAGCTAAAAGAGTGCGAGTACTGAAGTCAACAAAATTATTTGTTTTCTCATCAATTCACATTAAGGTGTAGACAACGTTAAGCAACGAAACAAATAAACAAATATTCTGACTAATCGAAAGTGGAAAATACAAACCATTTCTGCGTTCACAAGTCTTAAAATAAAACATAAACGATTTGGAGGAAGAGATTAAATAGATGTATCGATCATTCTAGAAGAATTAAGCGTGTTTCTGTTTTACTTTTAGGATAAAATTATTGCTGATGCATTTTGGGCAATAAACTTTCAATAGATGTCACTAAAACACATCTTCCTTATAAAGCACGACAAGGAAATATGATATGAATTGTTGATGTAATGCGACACAATCATAAAGAGCTGTTATGGAGGGATGGATATTATAACTAATAACTAATTATAACTAATAACTAATGTTTTGATATTTTGACTAAATGGAACGTGAAATTAATCAGTATTTTCCACCTGACAGTATCTTTAACGATGACAGTGATCTTTCTGATTTACCGGATGACAGAGGTTCTGCATCTTTATCAAGCACAGAAGAAAAGGACGTGTATATTCCACGAGGAAATATAGAGTTAACTCAAGTCAACGATGTGAATATAAACAAATATTTTTCTCAAAACAGTATTTTTTTATCAGATGACGAGGAAGACAGTTTGGAAACGGAGCCAGTAACCAAACGATTGACACCGACATCTCCTCGAAGAAATGTTAATCTGCGAGACCTTCAGGATTTCCACCTATCAAAATATTCAGAGCAGAAGGAAGATCAAAATTCTCCAACAAAAACTGTATTTAGCACTGAACTGGAGGTACCCGAAATACCAACGATAAAGATAGAAAAAACGGAAAATGACTTCTTGGATCAAAACTTATATGATACCCCGCCACCACCTCTCCCAAACAAGAAAAGACGTACATTAGATGTCCCAGGAGATCGACAATCGGAATGTGATCAAAATAAAAGTAGAAGAGGAAGCTGTCCAGGTTTTATCGGAACATGGGAAAGAGATTCCCTCCTACAGGAGAAGTTTGATAATCTTTTAGCCAATGAAGGTTTAGGTTGTTCAGACTATGAGGTTATATCGAGTGGCTTTCTTTGTAAAAGCAAAACACGAAAAAAGACTTTAAGAGAGAGGCTGCTGTCGGTATTTCCAAATCGTATTTATCTTTCATCCAGTGATTCAGAACTCGACAACACAACAGCACAAAATATGAGAGATTCAACTTTATCTCATACAAAAAAGATTGGTGACAAAAGATCTCATCATAATATATGGACTGTTAAAGATAAAATTTGCTCCAAATACAGAGAAATTCGATCGGCAGCTTGTTCAAAAACTGGACAAAGTTGTAGCAATCTCTTGGAATTAGAGTCTACATTTTGTGTTCCTGCAGGTTGTTCAAACGTGTCCTCGATAATACCGTATGATTCTGGACAATGCTGGGTAGCGACGGATGCATCAGAGAGCATACTCCTGTACGACAGGAATGGAGACTTAATGGACTTCGTTAATGTTGGCTGTCCAGTGGACTCCCTAGCTACTGACAAAGATGGCAATGTGTTTATGTCGTGTCCAGATTTGAAACAAGTTCGCATGGTTGACCGTCATCGACATGTAAGTAAGCCTCCATATTTTTTTATTTTCAGAGAGTCGAAGGCTGTTTAAAATTAAACAATCAATAATAGATATTTTTCTTTCTTTGAAGATGAGAACTTTTCTGGATATGACACAATACCCACGAGGCATCGCCTACATGCGACTAGAGGACTCTATACTAGTATGTAGAAACAACAACAAGATAGCTAACGATCTTACAGTGAAGGCATGCAATCCACTCAGAAAATATCCTATCCGTGGACCAAAGTCAAGTAAACCACGGGATACAGATGTAGCTGAAAATATGTTTGGTTATCCTTTCCGAGTTTGTGTGAATGTTAACGATGACTGCATAGTGTCTGATTTTGCTCATCGTTCAATCACGGTTTTGGACTCAGCTGGGAGAATCCGCTTTACCTTCAAATCATCCAAAGACTTTCCCATTCGAAACCGCCATTCCGTTTGTTGTGATCAGAAAGGAAACATTTACATTTTTTCGAAAGGTACACCAAATGTCTGTGTATTGGAACCAAGTGGCAATATCAAAGATTTATTTTCCTGTCAAGACCTTATGAATGAGTCAGTGTTTGCCTCCGTCTTTGATTCTGACGACTATTTATGGGTGGCTTGCATGGATGGATTCATCAAAATTTTTCAAAAAAATTTAATTCAGTAAAATCATAATTAAAGTTAATTCTATGGTAATCTAGGATATTCTTTCCTTAATCCACAAATGTCTTTCTTTTGAATCCCTTGATTGGTTTTTCATGTACCTTTAAGAATTTTATCATGTTTGAACTCCATAGATTGCTAGCTGAATGCACGTATTCGATACTTAATGCCATTAAGCAATGAGAGTTCCTTTTCTGCGACACGTGACCTTGGATTAATAGGCTTCATCAGAGGATCTGTTTTCATGTTCAAGATCTAAAATAAATTTTAAGACTTAATGTATGACTATGACGTGTTTAAAATCCATTGATGAACTTTATATGGATATAACGAACCATATGCAAGTTCAAAAGTCCATAAAACAATACAAAATGGGGGCAGAGCTATCAAGGACCTCCAAAACATCAGAGGTTGGACCAGTTGCCTTGGATGACTGAGCATACCCTGCCGACTGATCACTCCTGCCGTGTGATATTATTGATAAAAACAAAGAGTAAAAATACAGTACTACAAAAAATATAAGGTTGATATTTGAAAACGAAATTTGCAAACAGGTTTAAAAATGTCTTTGCAATTTATTATTTCTAGGGTGTACCCTTGCGTTTCTCATTTTACATCTTTGAATAGAATGTGTGCAAAGGAAGTTCAGTACAACATTGAAAAAACGAACCCAGGGTCATGTTTATTTACATATACTTATGATTAATGCATTTAAGAGAATAATTTTGTAATTCTCTGTTTGTAAATATCTGTAAATAAATGAGGAGAACTTTCTTTTGTGTCTGTGTAAGGGTGTGTGGGTGCACGTGTTTGTGAGGCTAATTGTCAAAAATTTAATTGGTTCTGCCTTCAAGCAGTTTTTTTATTGTCTCCACTCCAACTTATTTTCATTGATTTTACAATAATTAATTTTTATGCGCCCGGATCGGTAGATCCGAGGCGTATATTGTTTTTGTCCTGTCCTGTCTGTCTGTTTGTTTGTCTGCAAACTTTAACCTTCGTCATAACTTTTCAACCATGAAAGATGGAGACTTAATATTTGGTATGCATACTTCACTAATTGAACTCTTTCAAATGACACACATGTTATTGACCTTGTGACCTTGATTGTGACCTACATGCTAAAAATAGTCTTTGTCTGCAAACTTTAACCTTCGCCATAACTTTTGAACCTTGAAAGATAGAGACTTCATATTTGGTATGCATACTCCACTAATTAAGCTCTAACAAATGACACACAGGTCAATGACCTTGTGACCTTGACTGTGACCTATATGCTAAAATTAGCTTTTTCTTACCTTTTCCCTAACTTTTGACCCATAAAAGATAGAGACTTGATATTTGGTATGCATACTCCAATAATCATGTTCTTTCAAATGACACCAAGATCAATGACCTTGTGACCTTGATTGTGACCTATATGCTAAAATAGCTTTTTTTTTTTCAAACTTTGTTGCTGCCGGGCGCATAGTGTTTCACAAACACATCTTGTTTTCTATCCAAATGCACATAATTATTTTTCAACGAAATTTCTACTGAATTTAAAGTAATTTTACACTGCTAAAAATATCATCGAAAAAAATGTTTGAAATGCTACTTTAGATACCATACTTTTGGGCATTGCGACTTTCTGATGTAATGCGTGATTTGCCGTATTTCTGCTTAAGGTAGAATATTACTTATTACCATGCGTTTTCTCGATATGATTTTTTTTATCTTGAGTAGAATTGAGTTTCGAGTTTCATGAGGAAAAGAAGTATCTAATAAATCTTCGTAGATTTAATGTTTCAGTGGTTTTCATAACTATTCCTAATATTATTTTTTTTTCTTATTTTACCAAGCCATTTTTTAATATTCCCACTTTTTCAATATATTTCTTGTTTAAATAAAAAAAAACGTATTCTCTTAAATTTGAGTCAGAACTACTGATCATCCTGAATTATTGGAATATCTTTGAAAATAGGGAACTAGCTGTTCATTTAGAGCAAAACAATTAAATATAAAGATTTAATTGGGAAGTTTAATCAATATGTGCATTATTCATCAACGTTAAATTGTCAGTCTAACTTTTAAAGGTAATTGGTTCATGATTTTTAAGTATATACTGTTAAAAAGAATTCAACCAATCATAAAAAGCTGCTTAATTATATTCAGGCTTTATTATGCTTCTTTTTCCTATCCATGATGTTTTCAATATGCACTGTACGAGATGTTGCATTTATGTTGAATTCTTGTATGGAAGTACTTTTGTCGTTGAGAAAAGATTGTGCTTAGCCTTCGATGATGACAAGGTATATCTTACGCGAGTTATTTTCATTTCAGTGGATTCCACTGTAGACAAAAACAACAGATGTTTTGTCTAGATAGGAAGACGCTACATATGAGTCTATATATAGATAGAATTTTCCTGACTTTTTCTTTTATTTTTGGAATCGTGTTATTGCTACATGCAATATTGATTTAAAATTAATATTGTTGTGATAATTTCCTCGTTTTGAACCTTATTTACGTCACCAGTAAATAAGGGTCTTACGGGACTATAGTTAAAGTGTTAACAAGACCACGAACACTCTAGGAGATTAATTTCAGGTGCTTGAAATCTAGGCTCTATAAAGTGTTTTTTTTTTAATTTAAAAATTTGGAAGCCATATTCGTTATGGATTTGAAATAAAATACAACGCTTAGACTTCAGCTTGAAATATGATGGAAAAGACGAGTGGACCTTTTTGTGAATAGATTTGAAAAACTAGAAACTCTTGTTGCTACAGCAACAAAGAAGGTCTTCCGTTCTCCTCTATTTATCTGTATGTGTGAATTTTTATCTATGTTTAAAAAGAAGGAAGATTCCCATGTTACTTTAGAAAAATAAAGTCTTAATAACATTTACAAAAAATCATTTTCAATTTTTATATCATTTCCTGTGATAACTGGAAGTGACGGCAGACGGGTTTAAGGCTATATCTGTTGTCCGATCTTAATGATTAATTATTCATATAAGTTTTGTGTCTTGATCTAGTACTGTTTTATTTAAGAGGTCTCGTCATATTAACATATCATTTTCAGGGGCAAGAAATCACGTGACCGGAAGTAATTTTTTCAAAAGATATTTGAGGTTATTAGACATTTCAGTCTGAAAGACATGTCCTAAGACCATTTCAAATACTCTTTTTATAAAAGATATTTATGGTTTAGTAATATACTCAATTTATGCAGTTCTCTCTCATGACCGGAAGTTGTTGATTTTGTTTCCAGTGGGACTGTTTTATTTCAAAATTACAAATAAGATGCTATAATGTATTAATAAGAAAGATTCCATAAAGAAATAATGATTTTTTTTGTTATTTTATTTGATGACTTCCTGTGACAACAGGAACTGACAGCCGCACGGACGATGTTAACCCAAAAGGATTTGCTTTCTTATCAACCTCTACAATTCCTATAAGTTTGGTGTCTTAATCTTTTACCGCTTTCAGGATCTAGCTATGATAACGTCTCATTTTGAGGACAGAAAATCACGCGACCGGAAGTGAATTTAAAAAAGATATTTGAAATATCTGTAGACATATGCAGTCTAAGTAACATAACCAAAAATCATTAACAAATTCTTTATCTACAAAAAGTAAATATATGGGAGAAAAAATAATCAAATAATGTGGTTTTTCTCTTATAACCGGAAGTTGTCGTTTTTGTTTCCGGTGGGACTGATATATTTTAAAGCTACAAAATAAGATTCTATAATCTGATGTAAAAAAAAAATTCGTAAAAGAAAAGTTGAAATTTTAGATTTTTTTATGACTTCCGGTAACGACCGGAAGTGACGGCAGACGATCTTTTCCTAACTGATTTAGCCTACTTATCACGATTTACCACTTGATTAAGTTTGGTGTCTTAATCTCTTACTGTTTACGAGATCTAGCTATGATAACTTCTCATTTTGAGGACAGGAAATCACGCGACCGGAAGTGAATTTCACAAAGATATTTGACGTTACTGTAGACAGTTGCAGTCTAAATAACATATCTTAAAATCATTATAAATACTTTATCTATAAAAAATATTTAAGGGAAAGAAAAAATACTGAAAATATGCAGTTTTTCTATCATAACCGGAAGTTGTCGTTTTTACTTCCGGTGAGACTGATATATTTCGAAATTACAAATAAGATGTTGTTATCTGATGTAAAAAAAATTTCATAAAAGAAAAGGTGAAATTTTTGATTTCTTTGATCACTTCCTGTGACGACCGGAAGTGACGGCGGACGATCTTAACCAAATGGATTTGCCTACTTATTAAGATCTATCAACCCTGTAAGTTTGGTGCCTTAATCTCTTGCCGTTTCTGAAATCTCACTCGGATTAGATATTTTTCAAAAAAGCGGAAATCGGACAAATCTGACGACCGGAAGTGAATTTTGAAAAAATGAAAAAAACGTCTCGGGGTATTTTTATTCTCTATCATCCCTGAAAATTTCAGGAAAATCTGTCCAGCCATCTCTGAGAAATCCTGCCGACAAGATTTGGGAAAAAAAATAATAATAATAAGAAAAAACAGTAGAATCACTATAAGGTCTTCCGTCTGAAACGGAAGACCTTAATAATGGGTTTTCTAATCTTTAAAAGACATTTTAAAGATTCTTGCAACATATTCCCATGACTCAGTCCTAGTCCCGGGGGGGGGGCATAATTTTAGGTACACTGAATTTACACTTTGTTATAAAGGTTTCACATATGCTTTATCTTTTCCCAGGATACTAGTAGGCAGCAGAGTCCTTCATTTATATATTCCCTCCATCCTTACATGCTTTGTGGCAAGTACGGTTGCGAATGATCAAAAGTCAAAAATGAGTTTACTGACGACACATTTCAATCAGAAATACCCACTTGAACCTTCCGCTCAGATGAAATAATTAACAAAAAATAATATTGGGTCAACATAAGCGATCCAAAACGGGTGACAAGTGCAGTTACTATTATTTTTTTTACTTAATATCTTTTTACCGTCAGAGTAGTTCACTGGGACGTAAAAAAGCACCCGCCTTTTTTAGCTCATTTGAGTCGAAAACTCAAGTGATTTTTTTCTGATCCCATTTTGTCCGCCATCAGTCTGTGAATTGTTCACATATTGAGTGGTTTTCAGACTAAATTGCAACTAGCATCCTTGTGTAAAAAGATTGATTGATTGTATATTGTTTAAAGTCCCTTTAAAGATTTTTTTCACTCAGATGGAGACGCCACCACTTGCCGATGGAGAGCTGCAAATTTTTGTCCTATACTCGGCACTCAGGGCCATTGAGCAGGGAGGGATCTTTTTCGTGCCAGCACCTTCTGCGATTCGCCTCGGTTTATACAGTCTCATCCGAAGGACCGGTCTCCACGTCCCACAGTGGGATTCGAACCCGCGACGTAAGGATCAACTCCTTACTTCGCGACTCTAGAACAGACGCTCTAACCACTGCGCCAAGCGGGCAACTGTGTAAAGGAATTCCTTTGTATAAGGTAAGATCCTACCGACCAGATTGATGTGCTAAATACCATAGTAAAAAGTTCCACTTCGTATTCTTAGGGAAAACCCATAAGCGATGATGAACGCAATCGCTTCGGGAAAATACTTAGTTGCACCAAAGCTATTTACATTTATACACTTCTACTGTAATAGATTTTTCGACTTATAAAAATCATAATCCATTATTACGAGACAGCAGATCCAGATGTATGGATTTAGCCAACTATCCTAAGAGAGTTGGCTAACAGTGTTTGCTCCTAATAACAGTTCACGGTAGCTCAGTCGAAAGAGTGCTCGCTCCTTGATCGGGAGGTCATGAGTTCGAATCTCGACCGCCACTGACCTAAGCCGATTAAAAATGGGTAGCAACTGTTCCCTCGCCATGCACTTGGTACTTGAAGTGAAA